TTGATTGCTCGCTACATAATTGTCATTACATTGCGTGTTGTCCTCAATTATTGAATCGATTGAAAACTTTTTCTACATGCAATACATTTGACTAGTGGTTTATAAATCGAATTTTTTGAGCTACTTATTTATATTTATGAATACAGTGTAACCTCTTTTCCATGACCTTCGTATGATTCTCAAAAGACACTTTAAAATTGGATCAAACTTTATTAAGTCCAATATATGCAATTCATCCATGAGGGATACGGTTACGAAATAACCATTATTTTAGAAAAAAACTTACTGAAATCTTTCGATTAAATAAAAGAAAGAGGACTAGTTACATTGGGCTGTGATTTCCCGGGTGAGATTGATACTCAGCATTATTGTAATGTTCGTGGGTTTAACAAAATTAACTTTGAAGACTGATAACGACAAAAACTATTTATTTACACTAATTATTAAAGAACTTAAAACCAGTATTAAATTATTACTAAAGTTAGGTTATGAATTATTCTATTTATTTACACTACTGTTGATATATCACTATTCACTGCGGTATTTATTTCACTGCTATCACTGTCAATTTATTTCTGGATTCACTTCTGCAACGGTCAATTTATTTCTTCCCTTCTCGGCGATCGTCTCTTCCTTTAAATACTCTTTTGTTTACTTTCAGGAACCTTCTGGAAACTTCCGGATAGTTTATTTTTTCTTGAGCTGTTTAAGGAATAGTACGTGAACTTAAAATAATTTTGTTTATTTAACATCTTTAACGTCTCAATCAGATAAATGAATAAAATGGTAAAGTATCACTCGTCTGGCTATCTCCTGTAACAATCATGTAGGTACCAGGACTATATATGCGTTGATAGACAGCAGCAAATAATGAAACATTTGTTTCACTGCTAGTTTCTGGGGGGAGGGTAAGGGGCTACATTCTACTCTCAAGCAACAAAAGGAAATTATGCAACTAGATGTAATCAGATAAAAGCAGGTAAAACTTAAACTATTTAGTATTAGAGCAAGTAACAGTTGTATGTAGGTTCTTGGTTTTAAATCCTATTTGAAACTTGAAAAGCTTCAAATGGACTAGTAAATTCTAAGTATCAATACAGAAATTATTTTACGATAGCTTATAACAAAGAAAAACTAGGATTGGCAAAAACTGCTTTGAATAGAATAAAGCTTTCAAGTTCCATATTTGAACTATTTGGTTGTGACCTTAGGTCAAGTTGAAACCTAAGTTTACTACTCTCGCCCCACATCAGAAGAACGCCTACTTACACACATCAACGTGTCCATTCATTTCTCCATCCAGGAATTCATAGATGTACATTTACATCCAAGTGATCTGCTAGTTAGTTTCTACATAGCATCTTTCTTTACCGAGCACCAATTCAGAAAAGTCTGGTATGCATCAGCTATAATTTCTCCCAATATTTTAAGAATCTTTTCTAATACTCCCTGAGAACTAGCTATTTCCAGTAGCAAGTTCCATAGTCGCCAACTTCTAAATAAAGAAGTATACAGATACTTCTAGGCTGCTACCGGAGAATCGTCATATAAATGAAAAGGGCCTACAGGATGATATCAACGGAAGCCGTACCAGCGACTGCGGGATCTCTCGGCTTAGGCCCGAATGAGAGTAAAAGACGTGAATACGATGGCATAGATACGGAAGAACTGGCAGGTTAGAAAGCATCACTACAGTAAATACAAGGGAAGACAAAAAACAATAAGGATGCCCTGTGCAATCGGGCTTTTTAGAGGGGCGGCCAAAGGTTTGAAAGTTTGAAGGTTATGTATTTACTAAGAAAAAAAAATTGTTATGCGGTTAAGCATTTCCCAGCTCGCTAAATTGAACAACATTTTGCTCGTTTTTCCTCTTGTTTTTCACCCCCTCGCTTGTTTTGGGACGAATAATAAAAATAGACCTGAAAGCGAAAGTGAAAAGTACCGTAAACCAAAATTTTACGACAAAACTTTACGACAAAACCCATTTATTAAACTCAGTCAGTTTAGTTTATTTTGTATAAAAGTCAAGAGACGTACTATAGTGGATACTTTGTTATAAAACTGCTTATTCTTGCACATTGTTCAGATACGGTGTATTACATTTAATTTGACGAAAAGTAGTCTGGATAATATGCATATGCATGGCTTTTTCCTTTGGAAAGGAGGTAATCAGTGAAACAACACAAATCTATTTGTTGAGTATATGGAAAAGCGATAACAAGTACCCAAAAAGCTTGTGGCATCTTATGATCTCCGTATAGGATAATAGGATATAATTATAACTAACTAATCTAATTAAACAAGTGTTCCAATTATAAATAAATAAAGTACTTTTAAAAAATTAAAATATTTTTAAACACACCTAGCTGGAGAATCGTAACGTAACTTAAGTGTATATGCAAAAGTATTTTAAACCATCGCTCTTTACTTCGCTATACCCTCGATATTTTTCTAAGAAACAACCTGTCTGATTTATTATTTTCGTATTTTTGAATATGCAGTTCACCGACGAGAAAATTGCTACCTAGATACTATAATTATTTCTTTATTTTCCCTTTGAAAACAATGACTGAAAAGTCATTTTAAATGAGACCTAATAATTTCTAGCCTAAAGATTAGCCCCTACAGTAAAGGCGCCCGAATTTTCCCTAATGCTGTGATATCTTTAAGAATATCAGTGACCCTATCCGTTTCTGTAACTTCTGGAGAAAGAAGGTTCTCCAAATTAAAAATAATATAAAATTATTTGAAATCAAGTATGTGATACATTGAAATTGAAGATACGTGACAACAGGATATGCCAAGGTTGATTTTATAATATAAATCGTATGAAATTGACTTTTAACTTCTTTTCTATTTTTATTTTCTATTCCATTAGTGAGATGCTTCTTTTCTATTATGGAATCAAGAGTAATGTTTTAGTCTAATTGTAAGTAAAAAAAGCTACATATATTACGTTTATTAAAACAATAAATATATTATCACTTATAGAAAGTGAAGTAGGTATCTATATACACAATATTGTGGACCTTAAGTAAGTCATTTACAAAAATATTTTTACTTACATACGGCAACACCTTTAATTTTACACATAGTTAATAACAATTCGATACATTTTCTAATAAGTTCTACTTCAGTTAATATTTTCTTGGTCTTAATAATTAGTGTCCACTTTTTCGAATTTCAAATTAAATTAAAGTCTAAAGTTATACAAAACAATTTACAACAACGACTACAACGTACAAACAATCACAAACATTTTTATTATATATTTTTTTCGTAGAATCAAATTCTACAGTAAATAATGAGGGTTCTTATTTATAATATTAAGTGCTGGACCTCCCTTACACTAAAACTTTTGTGGAATCCCTTTTGAATTTGAATTTATCTAAATATTTGTAATGAAACTAGACTGGTACACATGATATAAAAATATTCTGCAATAATAATATTAATAGGTAAGTGATGGTGCAGTGATTGCCGATTATAGGATATTTTGGAGTTAGCTGATGATGATAATATCTAATAAAAAAATGAAACTAATTAACCACTAGTTATGCGCATGTCATAAATAACCATTATTTAGAACCCTAGTTATCAGAATTGAAACTGTTTACGGTCTTTATCGGAAGACTTTAATGATCAAAGAAATGTTAATTTCATAAAGGAAGTGCAATTCTCATTGTTTTAGGTTAATTTTAGTTGCATCTGCTTTCCGGATGAAAATTTATTTTTTATCACAAATATTATATACCGCCACGTGTAATCATGTTTACTAAAGTACAATGAGCAAACCGTCCATCTTCACACATTCTTATCTGTCTAATTTTTCAAAACTTCCGAATATATTTTTGATTTGCACAACACTTTTATTAGAATGTTAACCATCAGATGTCGTTATGTAAGTGGTGAGTTCTTAATCGCTGGTGGACCTAAGCAAACGGCAATCTGCAGCAAGCTCACCCCACACTACCGGTCAAGTCATCGACCGCAGCCAATCCTCAGTTACATTCGTCACGTAAACGAAATCCGCTACCATGATTTACTTCAACAGTTTACGTTATTATTACGATCCAGAGTCTTAGTCACTTTTCCAGAGCATTCAACAAGTCATTTCATGAAAACTGCCTCTATTACATGCCACAGAGTAGATCACGACGTTTAGCTGCAGTATTGCTCGTTCCTCCTCCAGGCTCTTAGTATCACATGATTTCAAAGAAAGACGATGGATAACCCCCATGTGGACATTATCGATCCCTCATCGCGAGATAGATACCCTGCACGCAACATTGGTGATTTTACATATGCATTAGCGAACAAAATCGTTTTCTCCACAGTTGATTTGGTTAGAGCCTGCAATCAAATTTCGATTGCAGAAGAAGATATTCCTAAAACAGCAATAACAAATCCATTTGATTTGTTCGAGTTTCTCTACATGAAATTCGGATAATATTATGTCAGCCAAGCATTTCAACATTTCATCGATGAAGTATTACATGGCCTTGACTTCTGTTTTGTTTACATCAACGATATACTGGTCACATCAAAGTCCGCAGAACAGCACATGCAGCATTTACACACTTTATTTATATTTGTTGTTGGTTTCAGGTAACTAAATAATTGTTCTTTTCGACTAACTGAAAAGTCTTTTGGCTATATTCCAAGAATTCGTGAAACCTATTGAGAAAGGCAGCTTTTGAAGTGAAACTTCTTTACGCACGGTAGGGTAAGTTCGTTTCATGCGAGTTAATATGTAACGAAATCGTGCAACGGATTTCCCCCCTCTACTCGGTCACGTAGTCGAGTTTGTAGTGGGTATCGCTTGAGCCGTGAGCGCGCTTCAATGCAACGTTCGTTGCAGGCAACTCCCGCATGTATAGTGTAAAATTTAAATTCATAGTACAAATAATACCATTAAACCAATTCCTTAATCCCTATCCCGGTATGTTTGTGTGTTTGAAGAAGTTTCACTTCAGGGGCGTGTTGTATAATTACACGTTGTATTTTTTTTATATTACATTGTTATCAATTTTAATTTTGCAACACTCACGTATTTAATGCGAAAAAACCCAGCTAGAGGATAGAAAGACGAAGCTTTGAAGATTTTCATCGAATATTCCAGAACTTTCCATCGGCTAAATTTCTGGAAGTGTCTACCGATCGCGAATAACACCAACAAACCATATATCGGTAGAAAGCTCTTGTAAATCGAAGGAAGAGTCGGACGTGATTGAAAAATTTCATAGAATTTTCTGGATGTTTACACCGGCTGCAAGAAATCCTATCAAGTTATATATAATTGGAAAGCCCTCAAAGTGAGAACGAATTCGACGTACGGCATGTAAACATCTATAACAGTCACTCAGGTGCAACTGAAAAGCTGTAATCATTGAAGGAAGTAATCAGACTCTTTAATAATTTGAGTCCGATGTGGAGTAGCTTGTAATGTTAGCATACCCCTCTGCTCCTCAAGGATTCATAGACCCACTGATAGTATCGATGCAGTTAAAGAAGTCGAACTTCAGCAAGTCTTTAAATTAGCACGCCACTAGACTTCAAGTGAAACATTATCAGATGCTTTAGAGTTTAAAGTGGCGAAGCAGGTTTGCAAGGGTCACCTATGGCCACTTCGGAAGTCGCCGACAGTACAAGTACAGGGGAAGGAATCACATGACTCATCAAAGAATGCTTAATTGGTGTGAAGCAAGTCACTGCTAATGACACGGTGGAACGAAATCCAAAATATTGGAAATGTTGGTCATTTTGATCATTATCATCATAAAGTCGTCAGTCCTAAGACTGATTGGACACGCACCTGCATTCTATCCTTTCATTATGATCAAGAGTGTAATAATTACAGTGACTGTTCGAGTGCTGGAATTGTGGAAGAATTGGGCACCCAACTAAGGAATGCTCCTAAAAACGCATGCTATTCCGATGGAAGGGCGGATTTTATGAGGTCTGCAGTGACTACATGAATACGAGTTCAATATCGAACATCAACCAGGCAAAGAACTGGTACTGCAAATGCCAATATCGGAGATTTTGAGTGGAAGACTGCAAACCTTGTTCATCTGCGAAGAAGAAAGAAGAATTGTAATCCAACCACCATTCAACCTGGAAGATAATTAATTAATTAAGACCTGAAGTAGGAAAGTATTTGGTCGAAGAATGAGGTGTGTGGTATTTCTGAAAAAAATAGGGTCAGAATTCTTAGAAGAAATACTTAGCGAAGGATATTTCGGCGTTATGAAAACTCCAGGGAAGGTACGCAAGCGATTTTACCGACTCCGAAATAGAAGCGGCGTGGAAGACTGGTGTAAGATATGCCCGACATAGTCTGCCAATAAATACCATGTGTGAGCGTCATTTGAGAGAATCGCAGTCGACTTAATAGGGCCATTCTTAATGACAGATTCTGGTAATCGGTCTTAGTAACATTGACAAGTGACCCAAAGCATACGCGATACTTACTCAGGAAGCACACACCGATGCCGATAAGCTTGTCAATAGTTGTATTAGCCGAATGGTACTCCATATAGAATTGCATTCCAACCAACGCAGGAACTTCGAGTTAACTTTGTTCAAGGTCAGTCTGGTTGTGGTCCAAGTTTTTCTGTGGTTTTCTTGGATCACTTAGGTAAATGTTGCAGCAGAAATATTTCACAGATACTCTATCACTCTCTTCTGTTTTCATTTCGCCCATGCCATTTTTTTCAGCCTAACCACCACTCAGCCATTCTCACGATTCCTTGAAGGAGGCTGAGGAAGGCCTTCGGCCCTACCCACCAACGTGAGGTGAAGTAAGAAGAGCGAGGAAACGACAAAGTGTGCGATGTAGTACTGAACGACTGACTAATTAATAATGATAGTGTCGTTCAAGATTAATTAGCGGATAGCAAATAGTAATAGTTGCAAGACGTTTTATTACGCGACCGTATTTATTTCTTACAACAACTTTTACCCACGATGTGAAGTCCTGTATATTGTACAGTAGCGACAATTTTGCTATTTGAAAACAAGTTAATATTTGAAGAAGTTGTTAATTAAAGGAAAATCAAAAATGGTGTGAATTACTATATATGTGAATCAGTAGACGGATAAAAGAAATAAGAAGGGGAGTAAATAGATAAAAGAAACAACAGAACCACCTAAATTTAATTAACGCAATAGGTCACACGGGTGTCATGCTTCTCCTTTTGTATAAACTAAATGGTAGATGCTTTCGGGATATCGAACGTCCTTAAGAACGAAATAAAACTCCAAAGTGAAAACCCAAAAAGGCAATCGAAATTGCTATCCACGTGTGCTAGTTTCGATATACTTGTATTACTGACCAAGATCTTAATTCGTTTATTTATTATTTGTTCTAAGAGCATTTAACAACACCCTTAACCTGGGGTACTGTTTAATGTGGATACCGATTTGTTACAATTTATCAAAAGAGGGATCACTGAACATCTTGGCTCATAGTTCAATTTCCGTTTCTATTTTTACGTAAAGTGAAATTATCAATTATCTCCGAAATTAGGATTGTGCCAATATTATTATCACCTACCTAATTTTTTTTATTTTTTTCATATTGTTTTATAAAATACTATTCAAAAGCTTAATTCCTAAGGACCAGCGTCAGTCTATTTCATCGAATTAGTCACTTATTTATTCCACATTCCACATCAATCGGACAAGCATCGCAATTTGTTAAATATCTAGGTAATTTATATTTATAGAAAGTACTACTTACTACACTTAGTACTAAATACTTTTAGAATGCTGATGTCCATCATCGTCTTGGTTGGCGTCTTCCTTTGTTTTGGTTTTTCTATCCTGTCCTTTTACGGTAAATGTAACGTAGTAGCGCTTGTTTTGATCAAGACGTTCAGCCGGCAATGAAATTATTTGCTTGTCACTTCCATGGCATAATTCTAAAGTAACGGCGTTTCTTGGATTAATTTTAGGCAAGAAACCTTGCGGCTTACATTCAAAGCCAATTTTGGGAATCGTGTGATGATCCATTTTTGGAACTAAAATTATAGGTATCAAATATCGACAAAATAATTCGAAGATGTCATTTTTATCAGCTTCATACTTCAAAACTCAAAAGAAAAAGGCGCAGCCCTTAAAATATCACTTACAGGTCCGTCTGTCTATCTCTCCTAATCGATTATGCAGAACTTTTAAAATTTTGTATAATAATAAAGCATTATTATCTCGTCAGAGCGTCCAATTTCTTGATCAGAAATTTATCTAAATTACCAGATATAGATCGTGATTTCTTGCTAGATCTTGTCAGCGCGTATGAATCAGTCTATCGCTTGAAATATTTTAGTAACAGTAAATACCCACAGGATGGCGGTACAATGTCTATATTTGGATAATATTAAATTGTATTTATCTCAATCACCAGCACTCAAAGTATTTATTGCAGTTGTATTTTTTAATGTGTACAATAATGTAACGTTCGTGGGTTTAACAAAATTAACTTCTTAGACTGATAACGACAAAAACTATTTATTTACACTAATTATTAAAGAACTTAAAAACACTGTTAAATTATTACTAATCTTAGGTTATGAATTATTCTATTTATTTACACTACTGTTGATATATCACTATTCACTGCGTTATTTATTTCACTTCTATTACTGTCAATTTATTTCTGGATTCACTTCTGCAATGGTTAATTTATTTCTTCTCCTCTCGGCGATCGTCTCTTCCTTTAAATACTCTTTTGTCTACTTTCTTGAACCTTCTGGAAACATCCGGATAGTTTACTTTTTCTTTGAACTGTTTAACTGCTTTTCCAGAACGCAGGTACGACACAGACATTTACAAATACGGCGCACATGAAGAAAGGCGCCCGCGGCTAGTTGGTGAATCGATAATCCGTTCACGCACACGTGTGACCGATCGCACACAAACACACTCGTGCTCGCTATAATAAGAAAATTGAATATTTTATAAAATATAGACTTTTAAAGTCAAAAGATAATTTTTCTTCAATCCGGCCATGTTGAACGCAAATTCCATGAATTACTAAAGTACTTGTTTAGAAAGCATGTAAGAACAGTAGACTAACAATCTCTTCACTTTGCGAAGATGAGTTGACAGCGGTAAGCATGCAAACCTGACGTTGTCGTCTCTGTAGTCGTCATCGTTATCATTGTAATCAGTTCGCGTTGGCAGAAGGCGGCAACCGCGGGCATAGTTCTTCACTTGAGCTTTTATTGAGTATATTAAGGTAATTACAAGAATTTTTAGAAAGCGCTCGAAGCGAATCAACAAGAAAACAGTACAGAAAATTTTTGCATTTATTGTAAAACGCAAAAAAAAATTATTAGCTAATATTGCTTATTTATTAAAAATTACAAGTAACCCCTGAAATTATTTACAATTTTTCTATAAAATAGGGAGGTACTTGTGAACATTATATGACAGACGGACTCGTAAGTGATTTTGTGTATTTCACGAATTTTGGCATAAAGTTAAAAAAAAAGATTAATCAGCTTTCCATATAAAGATCACAACATTCTTTTTTCGTGCAGGTAATTGATGTACTTTTACTTAGAACTACTTACGATATGCAGCGCAGGGTATTCCCGTGTAAGCGTGTATTGCATGATCACATCTGTGGGTACTCTGAGTGCACAAAAGGGGATTTTTGGGAGTTTCAGGAAGTCCTCGTAAATATTCTGATCCGTTACGTTGAATTTTTCTCAAGGAGTTGTATAAAAACTTTTCGAAACTTTTAAACGTATAGTCATTTAAAAGGTACCTCCCAGCTCCAACTGTAGCCACACATGATTGATGGTAAGCGTCGATAGCTCTTTTGACTAAAACTGCTTCGTTGTGTTGCCCAGAGCGAATTTGAAGTCGTTTGAGATCCAGAAGATGCTGGAAAATTTTGCGTTCCAAATGGTACCTAAAAGTAAAATAAAGGGAATTATGATCAGAGTTTAAATACGTACATACGTGTCACGTTTTTCCAAAAAATAGATGAAATATATGCTTCGTTTTTACCATTTATCCTTTTTTATGCACTTTATGAAATCATGGAAATGCCAGCAATACAATAAAAATTAAATAATATTTACCTATACACAAACTTATACAGAATACATCTTCTTTTTTCCAAAATTAGTTTTGAATTTTTATTTATTTCCACGAATATAAGACTGTAACTCACTAAAGGCTTTTTAAGTTAAATCTAGTAAAAATAATTTACCGGCACAACACGCAGGGACACGTTCAGCAAGGCGGCAAATTTTCTTCATTGTGCAGTTTTTACAGATGTCATTTAAAAACTAATGTCGATAACAATCACGTTAAACGATAATGGACACTAAACGATTTCTAGCCAAACTCACTTGCTGACTTATCAGTGGAGAAAACCTCATTTAAATCTGTTACAAACTTATAAATGGGTCGAATATATACCATTCTATGTTGAAAAAGTTAATAAAATATTCATTTTATGCACAAAAACAAAAAGAAGTTTGATCTTATGCAAAATATGTAAATTTTAATACCGTTAATCGTCTTGTTTCAGTGTAAAATGGATATTTTATATAACAATTTTATAATTACAAACTTATAGTAATTATTTTGGTTTCTGCTGTTTTTTTACTTTTGGGTCGGCTGTATAGTACAACAATACTGTTTTAAAAAAAATCACTGGGCGGTGTGTACTATTATTAAACTGTTTTCATTTCTATAAAAGTTATTCTTAAGATGATGTTAAATATCCAAACAAAAAAGAGAGATGTGAGACAGGGTTCGTATTTGCGCAAGGTTGTTAGGAAGTACGTATGTTGTTATGCCGACTTTGAACGGATTCTGAAATAAATTAGCAAATCAGGACCTGTTTAGAGAAGGAAAGGAAACTATGCACATCTTGATGATTAGGTCATGATTATAGTCCACGGTACATGGCTGTTTTTCCCAGAGTCTTAATACTTTGTTAGTGACTTAATATTAACGTAAACAATCACTATATTTTATTTGTGAAAACTCTGGGAAATTCGAACTCAAAACAGGAAGCACTTCTATTTAATGATGCAGATACAAAAAATTAATAATCAACCGTTTAATTCTTACCTGAATGGTAATAAAGATATCGGCCTACAAAAAGTTTGGGCCATGTGGCAAGACCTCCGCATGTCAATGTAATTGAACACTTGTAGACCAGGAAGGACACATAATAAAATAAATAAGAATGTGTTCTACAAAAATATTGGGTGGTATAGTGCATTCTACAAAACGGGACATAAAAAAAAACTTTTGTAATAGTTTGTAACTTACTGACATACAACGTACAGCCTAAATTGGACTTGATTGATTGAAATTTTGAAAAATTACTGTTTGGGTACATACTTTAAGTGGAACTATTGAGGGATTGCTTCTAAATTCCATCCGTACGGGGTTGAAGAGGGGTGGTATAGTTTGCATGGATAAACATAAGTTTTAGGAAAGACAACAGGTAAAAGTTGGTCTGTGTTCTGTCGGAGCTGTCTGCGAACCAAAAAGATCGAAATCGCGATCTGCGTCTGGCAGTTTCGACAGGATACAGACCACTTCGAAATATTTTAAACATAAGTTTTTCAAGATACGCTCGGATAAAGGGGAAGAATATATGGTCCGGAGAGATAAAGAGATTACCTTGCAGAACACTAAAAATATTCTTCTATGAGGTGGAGGTCAAACATTGGGTTTTAAATTCTGCGATACGGGTAGGTCACGAGTAGTTCCTTGTATAAAAAGGATTACTTTGATGGTTAATAACTCCTCCGTATTGACATATTTTTAACAAAAAAAAACTACAGCACTAAGCTACGAAGGGTAATCCACTTATTAGGTCACAGACGAGTCTGTTTTCCAATTTAGGGATTTAGAATAGCCATTTTCGCAGGTAAAATAGTTGTTGACCGCGCCACTTACGATGTTTCAGACGACTGCTAATAATTTGGAAGAAACAGCGCTGTACCCACGTTAGTAAAACTGAATCAGGGGGAATCTTCCCAGCCTCCCAAATATGGCAAGTTGCCCTGACTCGGTATCTTACAAGAATCGATGTAACAAATGATCGCGTCGTGAATTTCGGAATCTTATCTTCATCGGTTTTCTACTTTGCTGAATTTTATAATTTTTAGTACCTACCTAAATATATTTGATTTACAACGTTTATATTATGGTGGTGCACGATACAGACAGATCATCTTCAGTTACAGTAGATTTGAAAGTAGTAATAACATTGCCCATTCGCAATATAATTAATAATAAGAATAAAGCAGAAGTAAAAATAAATACGTAAGATATAAAAATTAAAAAGGGTATTCTCAAATATTGATAGGGTTTTAGAAAATACTACAAATGGCCAGTAAACGTCATCTGTAGCACGATGCTACATTTTAGGATTACGTATGCTCCAACAAGGTCCACTTCTGTGGATATCTATTTGCTGAAAACGAATCCCGGCGTAGTCAACCTCAACGAATACAGACTACTTCGAATTATTTTATTCGATTAAGCTAACGTGCCTATCACGTTGAGGTTGGCTACGCCGGGATTCGTTTTCAGCAAGTAGATATCCACACAAGTGGACCTTGTTGGAGCATACGTAATCCTAAAATGTAGCATCGTGCTACAGATGGCGTTTACTGGCCATTTGTAGTATTTTCTAAAACGCACTGTTAAGACAGCAGGTAAAAGTTGGTCTGTGTTCTGTCGGAGCTGCCTGCGACGCGCTGATGGGATCCAAAAAGATCGAAATCGCGATCCGCGTCTGGCAGTTTCGACAGAATACAGAGACTACTTCGAATTATTTTATGGATAGGGTTCTTCGTAGGTTTCTTTTATCATGTCTCAGTTGCATGTGACTATCGCACTGCGTCTGCGATGGAAATGAAATTGAATCATTGCGTTTGATGTGTTTGACGTATGTCGTTAACGCAATGAGAGATGTGAATATGTTACAAAAAAGAATCGAGATAACTCTTGTCGTAACTGTCGATATAGTGTTCGCTATATGCGATAAATTTAATTTTTAATATTATGGAAACTGAACGATCCCAAAGATCGCAAGCAGCTAATGAGCCTTAGGCAGGTCACATATTATAGGGTATCTGCTGCTTAAGAAGGGGGGTCCCCTTTTAATAGGTGGACGGGATAGAAATTATTTTGCACACCCCCCACAAATACATTGACTGCACTGGAGGAGTCGTGTGAATCTGGCACCCGATCTGGGTAATCCACTGATAAAAATTTGCGGGTTCTCAATATGTAAGTATCATAATTGTGTGTCCATTAGTCTCTTAAAAAAAACAAAATTGTTTCGGGTGCAGGTAAAAATTAAATGTCAATTAATTCAAAAACTACTAAACATAAAATAATTTAATTGGTGCCAATTTATTGCGTGTCATCTGTGCTTGAAGACTCAGCTATTATGGTATGCGGAGTTTATTTTTATATAATTTATTAGTAATTATTACAATTGGAAGTCAGTAATAAATAGGCGAGATAGGTTAGTAGGACACCTTCTCAGACATGAAGGTCTAGTCAGAGACATATTAGAGGCAGAAACGGATGCTAGGAGGGGTAGAGATAGACTTAGATTAGATTACTGTTCGCAGTTAGTTAAGGATATACGTTGTTTTAGTTTTAGGGAAATGGGAAGATTAGCTCAGGATAGGAAAGAGTGGAGGTACGTGTCCAACCAGTCTTAGGACTGACGACCTTATGATGATAAATTATTACAAATAGTATAAGAACAAAGGCTTTCACGGCCGGAATCCATAGTAGAATACAGATTTGGGCTATAGGGCTGTGGTCTAAGTGAACTATTCTGTCCAGACATTTCGTGAGCTACTGCTGCTGACATCCTCAGTGGTAGTGCTGCGTTGACAACGTGAACGTAGATTAAATCTCTAATCTGGGTCGACCCAGTCGCTGTCGAGACTTCGAGATATAATCTACGTTCACGTTGTTAACGCAGCACTACCACCGAGGATGTCACCCGCAGTAGCTGACGAAACGTCTGGACAGAAGAGTTCACTTAGACCACGGTTCTATAGCCCGAATCTTCATTCTACTATTACAAATACAGTCGAACCTGGATAAGTGAGAGCTCAAGAGACCGCGACCTGTTTCTCTCTTATAGAGGTTTCTCACTAACCCGAGTTTCTGGCTTACAAAGTTACTGGAGGAATTTGTCAAACTTATGTCTATAAAAATGCGGTTCAACACATTGAGTTTTCGTTTAGACATTATGAGGAAGTACAGGACCTTTCTTCGCAACTGCTTTTATGAACTGACTGTAATAAGATTGATAAACAAGTCGGTATAAACAGTTGACTATAATAAAATAATAAAGACTTACTCGGTCATTCGCAGATTTGGTCATTCGAATGAAATAAGAGTCTCTTGAAATTTAAGAACCAGTCATAAAATAACAATAGTAAACTGTCGCTTATAGCGGTATATACAAGTAGCAATCTCACTTAAAGAGGTTTAGGCATGAAAAATGATTCTCAGTTATACAGGTTTTATGTTTCTCACTTATAGAGGCTTTAAAGGGCAAAATGACGGGACCTGGCAAATACTCTCATTAATAGAGTTTCCTCGCTTACCCAGTTCTCAATTATTCAGTTTCGACTGTAATACTAAATTTTTCAATGCCATAACTATGATCATATTATTATCTTTGATTCACCAATTATTAATATTAGTAATATGAATGAAAAATTAAGTATTATACGTAATCATTGCTAATAAATAATATAGAGATAAATTAGGCTTATCATATAAGATCAGTCTTGAAACATAAATGACACGCAATCAAGTGGCGTCAATTACTTTTTGAATAAATTGACATTTAATTTCCACCTGCACCTGAAGCAATTTTCTTTTTTTTTTTAACAGAACTAATGGACGCATAGTTATGATACTCACATATTTAGAACCCACAAACGACGCACAATTTATTGGTAAACTTAAAAAAAAATTAAAAAACTTTTGGGTGTTTCATTCCCACCAGCCAGTAATGCTGGTGGACGGGCAATTCCTCCGGACTAAGCCGGAAGGTAGGGCGGAAGGCCCTCTTAAGCCTGCTTTCAGGAATCGTGGGAATGGGTGGGTGGTGGTTCGGGTGAGAAATATGAGACGGACGAAATGAAGACAGAAGAGAATGAAAGATTATCTATGGAATATTACTGCTCCAGCATTTGCCCAAGTGATCTAAGAAAACCACAGAAAAACTTGAACCAAGGCAGACGGACCCGCAATAGAACCGGCGTCCTCCCTAACGCTAAGCGGCGGTCTAAACCTCTAGGCCATGCCGTTAGGTTGGTAAAGTTGAAATCAGAGGATTATTTACATCGGGTGCCAGATTCATACGACTCATTGGAGGGATTCATATGGATGACGAAGTTGTTTTATCGCTGGAAGGTAAAGCAATTGTATGGAAGAGTACACACAATTGCCGACGACGACATTCAAATAATCCGACGACGGTTGATTTCGATATGAAGTTATGAATTAAGATGTATCTTGTAGCAGCCTCATCCCAGGATTCGAAAATAATGACGAACCTACTAAAAATGCTTTGGGTCATACGGAAATAATTAAAAAACTTTACGGTTCTGTTATCCCCAAAATCTCAAGCAAATACTTCCTTTAATGCACGAGTATTCACATGAGATAATTACAATGTTTGCAGGTATGTACATAATTATACTTTTAATACGCAAATGTAATAATACATTGCATTGCGCCATTCATAATCGACATCAATGTTTTAATGTATAACGTCTTCAAATACACTCGTGTGCACTGCCCCTACAAGCTATTAAAGGAGGGAGGCAGTGTATTTATTATATGCTGATTCGTTGATTGATTGTGAAATCTAAACTGCACTGCTAGTTGTACCAATAAATTCAAGGTTGGGGTTGCTGAATAATTCATTAGAATTATGAAGGATCATTTAATTAAACGTTTCCTTGATATGTTTCTATAATAAAAGTTGATATTTCAAGTTCATATTCATATTTATGGATAGTTTAAGTAATAAATAAATTGGCTTATGACTTTTCTTAGGATATTGAAGCAAAAATGAATAAACGAGTTTTTGAGATTTGAATCATTAACCTAACTTCACCATACATGTATTAGAATTCTCACATTTGGGTTTATGTTCTAAGTGAAATAACCAAAAGTAACATATTGAAGTTATATAGGAACCAATTGACCAAAAGATAAAAATGAGGTTGTTAATTGTTATTATTATTACTTCCGTTTTGTGTCTGGTTTTGCTAATTGTTGTTTAAAATTGATTTCATCGTCAATCGCTTCACTCATTTGCAAAATGAGAACCTTAAAACGAGCAATATAAATTAATATAAATAATGATTTGCATACCTCCGAATGTTGGTCTGAATACTTTGAGTTACTGAAGTCATATTAGCACTCCTATTAGAAATGTTTTTCCACTTTGGAAGTCGGCTACTTCTTGGGCTTGGTTCAAAGCCAGAATCGATCAGATTGCTACTGTCGTAACCACTTCCAGCACTTTTCGCTCCTCGTATCTTACTCTTTTTCCTAAAACGTTTCTTTTTGGAAGCACTAGATAATGCGGCTTCCTGTTCTGAAGCACTTTCATGATCATAATCACTGTAAGCAGAAGTAAAAATTGGTGCTGACATATTGGAAATCGATCTTGACTGTCTCTGCGATTTATTTTCAGAATCATATATATTTGGTAAAGATGGAACTCGGGAATCACCGCTTACATCTGAATGGCGATCCAAATTTCTTTCACTTTTTGATAATGTTTTCAAGTGAGAAACTGACATTGGAATTCGTGTTTTCTTGGGCATAAAGTTTTCAGAATCTTGAAAATATATTTTGGTGTGTTTCATTTCTTCTGATCGAGACCTTCCTCTGTCTAATGGGACCTTTTTTCGGGAAGACCTTTTCCTTCTAGTTTCTTGGCTTTCGTAAGCGTCGTCAATACTAGTGCCATCAAGAACTTTAAAACTTTGGTGAACACTACTTATACTTTCGCTAGTACTAGCAGATGAACTTCGAGGACGCATTTCCGGTTCTGAAATTTCCGAACTGTTTGAAATATCCTTCGAATTACCTACTTGACTTTTAGATCTCTGAAGTTTGGGCTTCATATGTTTTTTTAGATCGATTCTTAAAGTTTCCTTGGGCTCTTCCTGAGTTTGCTCTCTTACATAGCTTTTACTATCCATGTGTGATTCTTTCTTTTTGCCTGTAAGTTCGCGCTTTTGCTTATTTTTAAGATTTGATTTTCGTGTTTCCTTATCAACTGCATGTTCTACTTCATTTATTGTACTGATTTGCTTTTTAAGATCTTCTGCTTCCTGTTCTTGCGTTTTTATTTTCGTTGTCGACGTTTGCTCCTGTAAATTACCTATTTCTCCCGGACTTTTAGTTTCAGTATGATTTTCCTCTATTTCCTTTCCTAAACTCTTCTCCTCTTGAGATAACTTCCTAGTAACTGGTGCTGCAGTGTGAATTGGCTCCTTAATACTCATTTTTTCCTGTTCAAGACTTTCAGATATTTCCTGTTCGTCGGGCTTTGGAATTGATTGGGATCTATCCAGAGAAGTACGTAACTCATTCTCTAATGCAACATTTTCTTCTCTATTACTGGATTCTGGTATTTCTGCCTTAATGTCCTTTGGTTGTTCGATTTGATCAGCTTTAGCATCATCAGTATGACTCGTGACATCTTCGGTTTTAACTATTTCATCTACAGTTTCTTTTGAAATTTGATCGTCATCATCTGATTTTTTTTCCAATTTAGTCCTCGGCGGAGAATGAATGGAAGCTTCAACGATTAATTGATTATGCTGATCATCTTCATGACTTGTATTTGACATTATTGAATGTTCATCAGACACTACTATTTTACTAGCTTCTTGTTTGTATGTAGTACTTACGGTTTTTAAATTATCTGTGCTTTCTTTATGAGCCTCAATATTTACATTATCGGTGTTAACATTCAGATCTATTTTTTGTTCTTCAACAACTTTCGAACTCTTGGGACGGGTTGGATTTAACTCAGGCTCTTCTATTTTTGTATCCATCGGTTCTTTATGTTTAACTACAATTTCCCCATTTTGTTGTATTCTAACGTCACTGTTATTATCGTTGATATTCACTTCGTTGGCATATATAAATATTTCACTACCATGGCCTTTATTTAAATGTTGATAGTCGACATTTTGTTGTATGAATGGGTCGTTATTTTCTCTATTAGCTTCGTTATCATCATGTTTAAGATTATCAGAATACGTTTTTGTTTGTCTTCTTTCTTCATATTCACTATCGGATACTGACGATTTCATTCGCTCATATTTATACGCCAACTTTCTTCTAAAACTGTTCTTTTTTTTTCGTCTATTTTTACTTGGTTGATTTTCCGTTTCGCTACTTGAGTTACTACATAGGGTGATGTCGTCTCTTATTTGTAAACTCACTCCGCTGGAGGACTTCCTTTGTTTCATGCCGATCATTCTGGTAGCTGGTACACCTCCGTGCAGTTGGAGAAACTTGGCTGTGGAACGGAAACCTCTTTGTAGAGCACAATCCAATGGGGTCATAAATACATTCTTCGTTGTTTTAAGTACAGGATTTATATCAGCACCCGCATCGAGTAGAATCTGCAAAGAAAGTTCGAAGTCAATTCGATATTTCTTATGCATGAATTAAATATTCCACAGCAAGAGGTGACTTGGTTCGAACTGTTGTAAGAAAGCTAATCGCGGCTTTTTTCGATTGCAGACGTGTTTGTTGCGCACGCACGCACCGTGGCGTGATTTATAAGATGTAAAGAACCCGTTGGAATTACAATGAAAATGAAAATTCGGACCATCAAGATAGGGTGAGAGTTACAGGCAAGAAAACGGGTCGCAGTTCGTTAATTGGGACTTATGTGCATGCTACGTAGAAAGTAGATTGTGTAGACAAACCTATATAAGCAAAATAAGACTACCGGAAAAATAAACGACAAGGCGAACTTTGATAAATAAATATAATGATGCACACGAGGCGACCTAAATTTGCCGTGCTGATTAAGACTCGTTTTATGACAAATCCACTTATTATTCACTGGTTGTTTTTCTTTTATGATATAAATCAGGTAAAATAAGTAACATGATTGAGTACCATAACATCTTTTTATTATTACAAAAACTGATTAGAACTTTTGTAACTTACTTCTGCGGTTAACTTTTATTTATGCTATTCAATAAAGAAAATTAAAGTAGAAAAAGAAGGTCTATCGGAAGAGTCATCATCATAAGGTCGTCAGTCCTCTTTTCTATGCTGAGCTAAACTTCGCATTTCCCCAAAACTGGGATAACCCACATCCTTAACTATTTGCGAACAGTAATCTAATCTAGGTCTACCTCTACCCCTCCTAACTCCTGTTTCTGCCTCTAATATGTCTCTGACAAGACCTTCATGCCTGAGAAGGTGTCCTACCAACCTATCTCGCCTATTTTTTATTGACTTCCATAGAGTCCTCTGTTCTCCTATTCTTTCTAATCGGAAGAGTATTGTTTTAAAAATTAGGTTTAAATTAACCATATCAAAAATACGTCTTGAACCAGTGTAAAACCTTAAAATTATTTTTATTTACTGAAAAAGTTTGTATAAAAATATTATTTAATTGAAGTTTTATTGGTTAGACTGTTAATTTTTTAGTATTACTTTATTTTAAACTTATGTTTACCTGCATAGGATTACAGTTAATGTAATTTCTGGTTGAAATAAATAAATAAAAATAAAAGTGTCTCATTGTCTACATAATATATATTTATAACTCCTGAGTATTTTGTAAAAGGTGAAACGTGAGAGGTAATTTAGCATGTTCTAAGCTATTTTCACTTTTGGTATTATTGTGTAGGATTTTTAATTTTTTTGATTTAATGCTACATTAAAGACATTTTTTCCTTAGAACGGGCACTAATGTCAAGGTACTACATAATCCGTCACTTTTTGTTCCAAGTCAACGAAAGTACCTTTTTTATATTATTTGGAAAGCATTGAAGCTAAGGTCGATTTTAATCGCTGCCCTTAGTCTTGGACCTTGATAAAATTATTCACGCAACGATTGTCCACAGGTAAACACAAGCTACATAATTTCTTTTGCACCGTATACATTAACTTTACTTCGATAATTGCAAATATCAGGAGCGATACGTTATTAACATGATCTAGTTTGCATAGATTTAACCTTGAGTATGCTAATTTGAAGTAAAATTAACAGCTCTTTTTAGAAGTAGTTATGAAATAAATGCTATTTTTGTGAGCTGACTTGTAGTACGTGTCCGCTGCTTTTATCGAATAGCTTTCTCAGAAATAACTTTTTTTCAGTTAGAGGAGAATGGTATAATGGGAGTCAGCGGGCAGTGGAGGTTTTACGCACTGGACGGACCAGGGACCCGGGTTCGATTCCCGCCAAGGAAGTAATAACAGCAATTAATCATTCAATCATTAATTTGAGGTTATCTGTAGTGAGTAAAATTAATTCAAAAAACTAATTCACTAATAGGTACATTTAATTTACCCCTACAAAAATTCAAAAGGGTCTCTGCAATGCATGAATTTCTATAAACAGAATACGCTATTTGCGTTAGTACAGAATTTAAAATTTGCTTTTTAAAAGATATTTTATGTACAGGAAATGGGTATAATTTAGAAAGTCGTCGGTGTGGAAAGCGACAGTACACCATTGTGGAACTAACAGACGATTAATCAAAAGATGGAAGAGTTACATAGGCCTACTTTCGATATCTAGGATGTTTTCAATTAATCTCGATTTTTAATTAAAAATCGCCAATTTTGAAGTATTTGACTAGAACAAATGCAAAGAAATGGACGGGTTTAAATATTGCCAGACGCATGTAGGCAACCCAACATACATAATGACAAAGAAGACCAGATTTTCTAAACGCCACATTCTGGATCAATTCTAGATAAGTAGTTGCCGCGAGCTCGGAAGAAGTTAGTATGAGTTCGACTTACGAGGCGATACAAAGTGAAACAGAAAGGGTGAAGAAATGATGAAGTATGTGATACAGTAGTGAAATAGACATTAATTAATAATAGTGGTATTAATAGGAAGGCAAATAATTAAACAAATTTAGTAATAGTACAAAAGGTGTTTAATTACGTGACAATATCTATATGTGTGTGTATTGTTTGTCGCATATATTACATTGACATGTTATAACCATTCAATATGTAATATTTGACGTTAAAAGCGTAGATTATATAATAAAATTATTGATAATGTCAAAATAGGTAGGCTTAATACGTTGCTTCGTGAAGCTAAGATATCTACTGATTGGATATATGTACTGTGGAATTAGTTGACGGTTATAATTTCTAATAAAAGAATGAAACTAATTAAATACTTTACAGTCTATTTCAATATGTTAGAATTGTGACCCTGAAAAAATCTGTGCGAAGATAGAAAGAATACACACTAGGTGTGAGCAAAACAGAAATAGTTGGAACAAGCTTGAACGAGCAGAGCTCTTGATGGGCGGTCTTAGGAGATCGGCTAGAACTGTACAGTACCAAACGAAAAAGTTTAGCAATTTCTTAAAACAAAAATGTATATAAATTAACAATAGAAAACAAAGCAAAAGTTTTATAGGTGTGTAGAACGTTAATTAATTCACTTGTTATTATTTTTGGCTAAATATGCTTTCAAATAAAGCAGTTTAAATAATTTTGCAAATGGTACTGTACACTTTTGTTTAGTTCTCGCTCGTTGATCGGTGGAGAAATGAGCTCCGCAGACAAATATGAAGAATACGGCAATCCTAATAAAGGGAAGGGGCATATCTCAAACTTCTTGAAACGAACAGTACTTTTGATATCTGGGATGTTGTGTAATCGGATTTTATTTTTACTTGGAGATTTGATGTATTGGGCGTGCTTTACTATCTGGTTTTAGCACAAATGCTTGCGTTGTACTCTTCATTCGAATGCATTTAAACCTCTCTTAATAATAACCATAACCACTTCGAACTTGTTACTGGTTCCATCTGGACTTTCTTACATTCTTTTGACTTAGGTGGCTTACATCTGCTCACGACAGTCTTGGGATTCCAACTTCTTTCCATGTCATTATTGGGCCAATATCTTCGTCTTTCCTCTGGTCCCTCAGGCCACCCGGATAGTGTATCTGCGTTGCCGTGTTTTTTGCCTGGTCGATGCTCGATGTTAAATTCATATTCTTAAAGTCATTGTAACTATCGTGCAATCTGTCCTTCTGGGTTCTTGAATTGTAGTAGCCATTTTAGGGAGGCGTGATCCGTCTTTAAGAGGAACTTCCGTTTATACAGGTACTTGTGGAAATGTTCGAGGGTTTTAACCACAGCCAGAAACTCTTGATGAGTAATACAGTAATTTCGTTCTGGTTTGGAGAGTGCAAAGTATTCCATGACATTTTCCTTTCTATCTTGTACTTACGATTACACACCACATTACTAGCGTCGGCAGATACGATGAAGAGTTCGCTGAACTGTGGGTACGTCAAAATTGGGGCAGTGTAATTTTCAGATATTCAAATGCTTTTTAACGTTCGGGTGTCCAATGGAATGAAACTGCATCTTCTGTAAGTTTGTGTAATGGTCGGGTTATATCGGTAAATCCTCGTATGAATCTTGGGTAGTAGGAGTCCCAGAAAACTTCATGGCAAACCTTCGGTATGGGCCTACTTCGTACGGGGTCGGTCATAATTCCTTCTGGTGTTATGACATGGCCTAGGTATTTTACTTCTCTTCAAAACAGGAAGCATTTCTTGAGACTTAGCTTCAATCTCGTGCGCTGACAATTTCTTGAAGACTTCAGCCACGTTTTGGAGGTGGTCGTCGAAATATCTTCCTAGTATGATGATGTCATCTAGGTAATGCAAACATATTTTCCAGTTTAATCCTTGTAATGCAGTGTCCATGAGTTTTTCGAATGCCATCATATTGAACTGCCATAGACCATTTTCCGTTGTAAAGACAGTCTTCTAATTATCCTGGGGATGCATCTCCACTTGCCAATATCTACTTTACAAATGAGGAGTAGAGAAGCTCCAGCTAGACTATCTAGTGTCGATTCGGGGTAATGGGTGACTGTCCTTCAGCGTCATTCAACTTCCTGTAGTCCAAATCAAATCTCGTGGAACCATCATTCTTGCGTACCAGCACTATAGGGGAATTTCACAAAATTTGAGATGGTTATATTACCCCTTGCGTATGAATGTCTTTTATGAGATTATTGTCTTCTTTTTGCTTCGCCCCAAGGAACTTTTCTGGTGGCTGTTTGACAAAGCGAAGACGTGTTGAAAACGACCAAAAAGATCTTCCAATCGTTTGACTTAGTACTTGTTGAGATGGTTACTTGACCGTTTCATCAGTTCTGATAAAGTTGCAGAAGGTGATGTCGGTTGCGTAGTGAGTTCTTCTTCCCAGTCACAGTGATCGATTTCAGCTACCTGTTCAAATACATCCAACTCTGTGCCCTAGTTTTTAGCAATTCCAGCACTTCAGAGGATCACTGTAGTTCCTGCAGTCTCGAGCAAAATGACCAGTTCTTCCACATTTCTAAAACTTTGGGTTCCATTCTTCCGTGTTACGGGCAGTGGCTTTTGTAATTGGATTGTCGTCAATTTCTGCTTGTCGTATACATATATGACCTTTCGAAGCTAGAGCGTGCGAAAGTACTTCATTTGCAGTCTTGTGGCGAACTAGTCTAAGGGGTAGGCTAATCTCACGATACGCTCCGCATAGGACTCAAATTGTTGTAGAGTCTTGTTACTTCGTTCGGTTGCGTCTGATGTATCTGCTGTAGATGTTTATCGCCGTACCTCATTTCTAGACGGTTGACAAGATTGTGGAAGTCATATTGTTGGCATTCGGGTATTCCATGGAGTATATCCAGCGCCTCTCCTCGTAAAGAAATTATTAGTGCTGTTTCTTTCTCTGAATCAGTCCAGGAATTTGCCTTTGTCGCTGCTCCAAACTGCTTCAGGTAAACAGACCACGAGACCTTTCCACCAAAAGTTGGAAGTGGAATTTTTGATGGCCTAATACCGGTATCTTCAGGTCTTGCAGTAGAGGGTAGTCTAAGCCTTTCAATTGCTTCTTTCACTTCTTCCCTTATTTCTTCTCTTCTTTTCCCATATGATTTCCCTTTCATATATCTTCTCTTCCATTTCATTTCTAATATCATTTATCTGTCATCCATTCTAGTATTTATTGCTTTTGTACTGCTTCCATTTTCTGTTTCATTCTTCTTTCATTTCTTCCTGTTCTTTTTTTTTGATGTTCAATTCTTCTTTCGTATCGTTTTAAGCTGCTTTCATTTCTTCTTGCCCCATTTTCATTTCTTCTTTTCCTTTTTCCATTTTTTGTGTCATTTTCGCCATTTTTGCCATTAATGCCTTTATTTGTTCCTCTATTTTTTTCTTCGGTATTTCCGGTTGTAACTGGCATGACAGAACATGCTTTAAAGCTCTGTATAGTCTGATGCCTGTTATTTTTTATTGTACTAATAGAACTAGTCCCTAAAGCCTAGACCTATAGTTACTATTAATGTCGCAGGAATGTGTGCAATTATTCTTGGTTATATTCATTTTCGTTTTCAGGTTTTTTTCTATTCAATCAATATTTTGAATTTGTTAATTCAATGAAAGACATTCGCGTATTAATAAATTTAATCAACGGTTATTTCCGTTATACGTGTGATACTTTTCTAAATGCGTGGCATTGTGAGGAAATGCAGGTTATTTTGAACAACAAAAGAACTTCCCGTTCAAGGCGCTACATAATAAAAGTACAATGAACTTCCGTGGAGCGTTATGCGAGTTAATTTTTTTTATGATTTAACCCACAAAGGCTTATTTTTTGTGGATGATCTGTTGGGCTAATCACATTTACAAATTATGAATCTTCATAGTAATGCTCCGTTTTTCTGGAATACTTAAAAAAGAGTTAGGCAAACTGTACGTTTAAAAAAAACAACAAACAAAAGCCTCGCCTGCTTGGCCTCACTGGGTTACTATGTAAAGTAAGTCAAAACTTCTCAATCGTTACGCGCCGAAAAAAGTAAAATTGAAATCTAGTAAGTAGCAAGTTAAGAAATTAAAAATAAGTAGGTAGAGGCATTAGTTGCTGTTTTTGACTTCTTGATTTTAAAGCTTACAGCGATACACATCAGTGTATTGTTACTATGAACTTTTTCTGATGTAGTTTGGGCTTTGCAATGGATTTCGCTGTTCAGAAATTATGCCTATTGTTTTCGATTGTCGCATAAAGTGTATCATTTAATTGCATGTTAGAACGCGATCAAAAAACGACTTGTTTTTCTTTTATGGATATGTAGACTTCAAGCGTCGATTTAACTAATTTTCGCTCATACCGTAAGCAACAGTTTGTCGAGGCTTTTCCTTCCCAGTCTCTCGCAAATCATTGGAAATTACCAAACTCGATGCCTTTAGCTCGTAATCAAGTTGCACACGGGTTGATTTTAACTAATCGCCTTTAGTCGCTTATTTTACCATATTGTTCGGTTATGGTTAATTCTAATCTTTTATCGTTTTAAATGGACCAAATATAAAGATGATGCATTTCGGATTAGTTTCAATTGCAACAAGAACATCGCTCGAATTTGCTTTTTTCCGTGTTTTATTTAACACCTTGAAAACGTATCCATTAAAAATTAGGGGTAAATTATATATATATAATAAACATAATAACCAGACGGGGTGTTGATACTATTTAAACGTTATTGTCAGGTATATATACCAATTATATGTGATCACCTTAATAAACCAATAATATGCTACACATATTATCTACGCACAATTATGCTACACATATTATCTACGCACAGTTATGCTACATATATTATCTACGCATAATCCCATAATAATCGCATGATAATCGCACATGCAACGCAGCGCAGCGCATCGCATCGCTTCGCTCGCCACTGCACTTGTCAACAGACAACTATATACTACTACATCTTCAATCTCACCCTCACATGTTTTTTTGTGGTTCCTTCTTTGGTCAAAATATGGAAAGGCAATTATTACTGGAGTAAAGTTTTGATATATTCGTTATAATTTATATTTTGTACCTTATAATAAAACTGTCATTGTTGCCACCGTAAAGTGAGAAGTACATTTTATAGTTTTATAGTCATCCAACCGAAGTTTACCGTTTGAAGTTAAGGAGCCAAAAACCGTAAAACATTTTTTAGAAGTTAATATTTATTTATAGCTGCAGACGCTACCGCAATTGACACGCATGGGCACTATCATGCGTTATTAAGTCATTTTTCTGTTTCCGCCATCGCTTACCATAGAGGTTTGTGATGTATGACTGGATTATGCTTAGTATATTTTGACTTGACTTCTTCCTAGAATAATCTTATAGGTAAATATTTATTCTTAATTTCAATTCAAGACCACTGTAGAATGAATGGTCCCCTTCGAGTAAACATCCTGTTGTTAGATGAGATGATTGTAAATAATAATTTGGAATTGGTAAAATATAAGATGTGATTCTATTGTCATGCCTAGAATGTATCAGATACAAAATGCTTAATTGCAGATATCATATCATATCATCATCATTTGAAAAATAGGACGTGATGCAGAAAAACTCGTACCAATACTTCTGACCATATTTTCACATAAATAAAAATGTAATAAAGTTCAATAAATGTAATTTAAATTTTTTAAAGGGTGTTACGTTTTGCTCAAAAGATTTTGAGGTTTCGGTTAATTTAGGATAGTTTTCACAGAAGCAGAAAATATTTCCAGATATATGAAATTGTAGCTCGTGCAACATAAAAGTAGAAAATGCCAACAAAGAAATGTGTAAATTCTATGTTTGGTCTGCCTTACCTGTTCATGCAATATAATCAGAAAAACGATGATTAATATCGAAAAGAGCCTTGTAGCTTCTCTCAATCAAGTGTTATAGTATTAAATGTGATTATAACATGCAAAATGTTACAGTGTACCAAAACAATTATTTCGTTTTCGTTTCAAGCCCCTAATGACAGATAGGCGAAATGCTGAACAAATTTTACAGGCCCGTAGTACTATAATAAATGCTAATTAATCTACCAGGACAAACTTTTTTATTTTATATATTTAAAGAGTATAACAATAAATCAACCCAAATTTTATCAAAAATTCTCATGACCACTATAAAATTAATAATTCTCAAAAATATTATGATTTTCATTTTATTGAATAATTTGTGTTTTCTGTGAAATGGGCATCTAAAACGAATATAAAATTTTCCGTGAAGTTCTTTAATATATCTGCAATTTGTTATCTCAATTAGAAAGTCTAATTCAAATGAAACAGAAAAGGAAGAGTGTAGTAACATGTCAATGTAGTATTTTTTTTTTCTGCCTTTTTCAGAATTAAAATAACACTAATGAATTTTCAGCAGTTCTTAATTTTCTTTTTCTTTTAGGTAATTTATTCAAACTATTTAATAGGTACACATGTTTATTTCTAATAAAATTTTTTAATTGCGACTTTGACGATTGAAACTTGTTTTACTGATATTTTAAATTTTAGCGTGAATGAATTCCATTTATGAATCATCATCAACGTTCATAATCTAAATAAAGCAACAGTTTAAATATTTTTTTATCAACTTACCTTACACATATCCGCGTTATCGTTGAGAGCTGCGAGATGCAAGGGTGTTCGGCCGTCGTTGTTTTTAGCGTTTACTTGACTAGGTCTTGTATCCAATAGCCATTTTACCAATTCCCTGCGACCAGACGAAGCAGCGTCATGGAGAGGATAATCGCCTTTAATGTTCTTCAACCATAAGTTTCCATTGTGGTTTGCTAAAAGTTTCACTGTTTCAAATTGTCCTTTGGCACATCCACAATGGGCTGGACTTCGACCTTTTCGATCTTGTCGATTTGGATCAGCTCCGTGTGTTAGAAGAAGTGCTGTTGCGTCAGCGTGACCTAATGTGACGGCGTAATGTAGTGCTGTGCAACTACAAAAATAAGCAGTATTATTCTAACATAGGAATTCTACGATAAATAAGACAAGAACGACAAACAGTACGGTAATGTATTGGAATGTTGATACTAATAACAATATAAGAGTGAGACAGTAGAGAGGTAGGCGATGAAAATAAAAAGCCAGAAGGACTTAACAGATATTTGAGTGGACATATCTAGATCTTGATAAATCATGTTCTGACTTCATGGATCTGGCCAGTCGGGGCAAATTTAATGGCTTCTTCAGTTGAGAAAAACGTGGACGCAAATTTAAGTTCCTCGAATATGTGAGCCTGTCGGGGAAATAGTCGGGAAAACTGTCTGTGACCCGATCACTTGAATCCCTTTGAGAGTCTATCAAAAACAATTCAACATGCTGTGTTGGATAAATTGTAGAGAAAATGGGGTAAATTTTCGTATCTCAAAATAATTGAGGGGTATATTTCGGTGGCTTGATCATGTGTGAACCTCGATTAAGAGTGTAACATAAGGTTTCTTTGGGTTCTCCTTACGCAGAGGATGTTTTTCCAAAATTTTGGCTTATGTTCCTGTAAGGATTCGTAATTGTTTGTTAATCCCTTCTCCGTCACATACGTAAGAGAACATTGAAGTAATAAAATTAATATTTCAAAACAGTGTGTCACAGTGATAAGAATAGATCAGTAATTTATCGAAACTATTTGAAATGCATCGCAATTTCGGTATTATTGATTGCTCCAATTTGACGAGTTAAATCGTGTGCGTGAAAAAGTATTAGTTTACAATGTTTTATACGTCAAATGTCGAAGACAGAATTGCCTGCGACATGTTGTATCTTACATATTCGCAAAATTCAGGCAATCAAGGACAAAAGTCGTTTGAAACTGGTATAATCAGTATTACATTATATTTATAATCGAGATGTCGTGTTATGTTTGCAACATATTTCGTGGTGTGCCATTTACTGTCAAAGGAAGTGACACGTCGAAGACATGTTGTCGACATGTTGGGACTAAATATCGCTTACGTCTGCGACCAGTTTTACGTTTCTGGCGATTTAAAATAAAATAATAAGATTTACATACTCAAAGAAAATACTTCTCGCATATTAAACAGTGATAACTCCTGACTGTTGTTTATAAAAATAAAATCGCTAGTCCTTAGAATTAACTTTAACTGAAATAAGGTCAACATTACGAACAAAACCTTTGAAAAATACTTACCCATTGCTGTCTATAAAGTCTGTTGTAGCTCCGCAAAGGGTAAGTAACGTGTCTATACAGTCTGTATGCCCTCTAGAAGCTGCACAATGAAGCGCACTTAGACCGTCCTTATCGACTGCTTCTACAGATGCTCCAACTCTTGCTAAAGCCAAAATTGCCTTAGAAGAGCCGGCACTTGCAGCCCACAGCAGTGGTTGCCTCTTCTCATTATCTTCTACAGATACATCCACGTTTTTCTGCGATAGTAATGTATTTAGAACCTCTAAACCTAATGCTGAATTCTTCTCCTAAAAAAGAAATAATGACATGCTAAAGATACAATAGATGGGATAGACAAGTTTAAAGGTCAAGAATAATTCTTTCCAGAAATGATATTAAGTGAGCGTTCACAATATTGTAAATTATTTGTAGATATAGCTAAACATTTAGAATGTGTTAAAGGTGGGGTAAAAAATTTGAAATCCACAATTCTAAGAAATGAATGATTTTTCATAGAAAACACGTTTTCGAGTTCTACACAGTGGCAATTTGTGAGGAATTTCGAATCGCAAAAATCGATAAAGTGAATTTAATTTCATTTTAGTGTTTTATACGACAGTAAAATTCTTCACTTTTACGTCCAACTCAGCTTCTTGGAATTTTTCAAAATCGAAAATTATTCTAGCGTTACTGCTCAGATTAATAACAAATCGAACGTTATTTAGTTATTGATAACATTTTTATGAAAACAGCTGTAATTTATTAAGGTATCTATAATCTCGACGCTGAGAAAAGTCTTTGAAGCATATGTGAAGTATATCCATTGGATTGGAGCTGTCCTACGTTGTTTATGAGCGGCTTTTTGGTCAAGGGTTTCACCCACTTCATCGAAAAAGTGAAGATCTTGAATCTACAACCTGACGACATGCTCGTAAGCTTTGATGAGGTGCCCCCCTTCATTATAATTTTTTTTATAAAGGAGACCCTTGGATACATACAGCTATGGGAAGCCCTTAGTGTAGTGGTCCTAAATTCTTACATGGAGTTATTCAAACTTTCTCTTAACTCTGAAGGTTTAAAACCATGACACTATCGTCTTCTTCTACTTCACATTAATCCTATTCAGTCCCACATTCAGTTCACACGGAGAAAGAAAACAACGGATAACTAACGTTTTTTAATGTACTCGTCACCAGGAAATCCCATTGATCCATGGGTCACATAATAAATAGCTCTAATCCAACGATTGTGCTTCACAAAAGTGTATATGCCCTTCATCCCATGTGAACATTATCTGTGACATCTTCATCACCGTCCATAGGAAACGCTTCCTTATCATACATCAAGCGAGGCATGAACAGCATTGGAAATTATTCAATAGCTTCAACATAAATATTTTCTTCAAACTAACACAACAACTACGAAACTTAATAAGATCAGTTAAAGATTCTACCGACCCCTTAACGTCTGCCGGTGTTCATACAATGCCCTGTTCTTGTGGAATAGTCAACATTGGACTTAAAACGTAGTATCAATACAATAGTAGCCTAACACAAACGCAGTTGTCATCTCTTAAAACTCGAGAAATCTGCCCTATTGGAACATTAAATATAGGATTCCAGACATGCTATCAGCTACGATGGAAATACTAATTTATCTACAATATTCAAGAGTCAACATTGGACTTAAAACGTAGTATCAAGACAATAGTAGCCTAACACAAACGCAGTTGTCATCTCTTAAAACTCGAGAAATCTGCCCTATTGGAACATTAAATATAGGATTCCAGACATGCTATCAGCTACGATGGAAATACTAATTTATCTACAATATTCAAGAGTCAACATTGGACTTAAAACGTAGTATCAAGACAATAGTAGCCTAACACAAACGCAGTTGTCATCTCTTAAAACTCGAGAAATCTGCCCTATTGGAACATTAAATATAGGATTCCAGACATGCTATCAGCTACGATGGAAATACTAATTTATCTACAATATTCGTAATATCACATACTGTTCATAAAGATATAGAGAAGTCATCGACATTTACAGGCATCTGATGAATCTCGACAGGAAAAAATAAGGACCACGATTGGTGTGCTACCTAGCCCTAAAAAAAATACGCAGAATGTATCGGACCCACCGGAAAGTCATTCAGATACACCGAACGTTTCCCAGATGAGCTTATCTGATGCCGACGCTGCCACGCCAACCCACCAAACCAAACTAAACTTTTGGGTGTTTCATTCCCACCAGCCAGTAATGCTAGTGGGCGGGCAGTCCCTCCGGGCTATGCCGGAAGGTAGGGCGGAAGGCCCTCTTCAGCCTGCTTTCAGGAATCGTGGGAATGGATGGATGGTAGTTCGGGTGAGAAAGTTGAGACGGACGAAATGAAGACAGAAGAGAGTGAAAGATTATCTGTGGAATATTACTGCCTCAGCATTTGCCTATGTGATCCAAGGAAACCACAGAAAAACTTGGACCAAGGCAGACGGACAGACCCGGAATCGAACCGGCGTCCTCCCGAATGCTAAGCAATGGTCTAGACCTATAGGCCATGCCGCTCGGTGCCAACCCACCATTCCACAGTATATATAGCAGTATTTAACCAGCATTTAACTTTCGCCGAGCGGCATGGCCTAAAGGTTTGTAGCACTGCTTAGCATTCCGGACGACACCGGCTCGATTCCAGGTTCGGCTGTCCTGGTTCAAGTTTTTCTGTGGTTTCCTTGGATCACATACAGCAGTAATAACAGCCACAGATAATCTTTCACTGTCTTCATTCCAATCATGACCCACCTTTCCCACGATTCCTAAAAGGAGGCTAAATGGGCCTTCCAGCCTTACCCTCCGGCGCAGTTCAGAGAAACTGCTCGCCCACTAGCATTAGGAATTAAATCCTTAAACAATAATTCAGTTTTTATTCTATTCTCCATTCAGTCGCTGCCGAAACATTGACGTGTATAATCTTCGCTCACATTATCAACCTGGTCCCACTAAATATACCAGACGCAATTTCCTACGAAACGTCCTAACTTAATCTAATCATTTACGCCAAAATATTTCCATCCAAATCATAATTCTAGCATGGATTTTGCGAGTTTTTGTCTTGATCGGTGTAACTTTTTACAAATATTACATTTCATAACAAAATGAAAATGAACGGAACAAATGTATAATTATTAGTATAATACTTACGTCACCACACATTTGAGCTGCGTAGTGAAGTGGATAGCCGCCATGTATGTCTGGTGTGGAAATGGGTGCACCGGCTTCTAATACGGCTCTCAAAGCAGCAGTCTCCCCACAAACTAAAGAAAACTATTTATAGCAATAAAAAATTGTATATTACTAATATATAAAGCTATATATTCACATGGAATTCCAAAATTGTTGTAGAACAGATAACCTTCCGGAATCGCAAATTATACATAGAATGACAACTATTTTTAGTTAATTCATAAAGAACTGACTTTCACGCTTCATAATCTAGATAAATATGGATACAAATAGTAAATATTTATTACCGATTTGAATTTTTGTTTCGTAATAATAAAAAATCGAGTTTGTCAGAAAACCGAGTTCCTGAAAGCATGTTAGAATTTCTAAGTTATTTAATGTAATAGCGGACTTTAAATACGACATAATATTAAAGAAGTTGGAACTGGGTAAGGTACCTACGAAGATTTTTAGAATTTTTCAACTTTTTCCATCTAAATCTCTAAGGAAGTCGAAGTAATGGAGAACCCAAGATTCCAGTTTGAAGGTGAAAGTGAAGGACATTTAACTTCTGTTTAGAACAGTAGAACGGATGAATATTAATATGTATTAGACAAAAGCAGAATAAACTGCTAACTATAGTATTTAGCCGTTTAAATCGAAGACCAATTTTAGGAACTTCATGTGACGAATTGGATGTGATTGTACTTTACAATCTTTTTATAGCTTCTTTGAAAACTTAGGCCGAGCTATACGAACCCCGGATCAATTATCTGTGATTTAACCACCACTTTACGTTGAAGAACTCTTCTTTTAGGCGATTCATTTGTTGACTATTTATAGTATATGTTACCGGAAATATATGAAATCTAAGAATTGGATACAATTCCTAGGAAATGTATACAATTCCGAAGCTATTTAGGAAATGTATAAAATATTGTTTCAAAGATTTTTTAATATACACACATATGTGTACATTTCCTAGAAACTGTATGAAATTCCGATATTGTACTAGGAAATGTATAAAACTAATGATTTTTGTGAATCAAATACTCTAACATTTCAGCCCAGGGCAGGGGCATTAAATAAATTCCAATCTGTCATAAACATTTAGAAAATAACAATATTTTATACATTTCCTAGGAATTGTACATATATAATACAACTAAACTAATATGTTGAAGACTGAAAAAGCAACCTCAAACAAAAATATTACTAATCGCTATTGAGCTCTAGCCGAAACGCAAACTCATATGTTTTAAGTTATTTTCTCAGGAATAATTAACAGAACCTTATTGTGTTCAAAATTAGGTTTCGCCATCACCTTTTTATATATAGGTGATTGGATTTACCTTTTAATTTAATTAGATTTAGTTCAGCTAATTTACCCGAACACTAGAATCTGCGGTCTTCTTCTACTTCTACACATCCATAAATAGGATTTTCATTTATCAATTAATTATTACAAAGTCTAATTACAAAAAACACCTAACCATATAAAAGAATTCAATAGCAGAGTAAGACAGGGTCATTTGTTTTACCGTGAGCAGCAAATAGTAACTGTCCGCATGGACCATTTTTTTCGAGAAAGAAAAGGGCTGAGCGACTTTAATTTCCTTTGTTCTTAAACATTTAGTTAGTAATTAAATTTGGTAGTATATTGGCCAACGCTTACAATTAGTTCGTAGAAGAGGTTACTAATGAGATCATGCATGATTTGTCAACTTCATATTGATAAGATGTAACGTTCTACATTTCAATTATTAAGGGTTACCTGAGGCTCCATTTTTTTTAAAACAATTGTTTGTTGGTAAGTAACAAACATTCCTGGTATAATTGTAAAGAAATTCAAATGGCACAAGTAAAAGGACATAGTAGCGTAATAAAATAAGCGGATATATAGTTTAAATTCATCTCTGAAGTTGAAAATTGTATAATTTCGCAGTAATTTAGGTAATGTGAGTCGGTTTTTAGGTGAATTTATTTGAAAAAACAAACTAGGATATTACATAGGTAAGGTTAGTAAAAGAGGACGTAAAATGAAGGATAGTAAAAAATTTAGTCCTTTTTAACCACTTCTGTGCTAGCGATCGGTTAATTTGGAAATTTAAAAAATAAAGTATTTGGAGCATGACTCTGTAAGGATACAAAACATGGATGGTGATCGCAGCGAATAGGAATACTTCGAAGTGTTTAAGTTGTGGTGCTATAGGCGGATGACGAAAATACCGTGAACAGGGTAGTGGATCAGGTGGTAGAGAAAAATGGATGTAGGGAGGCTCTCATGTCGTATACCAACGTGAAGCACATACCCAGAAAAGGCTGAGACCATGATGAAGAAAAGGTCATGGCAATTTTCATGGGTAGGAAATATTTCACGAACATCCACTTCAATTTAAGTATTTAAAAATGTCTCTCAGTAGTCTTGAGCAATTTGTTCGCTCTGCCTTTAGGTCACTTGTGGAGATAAGAGACCTAAATGACCACTCGACTTCCTGGAGACCTGGAACTAGATACTAGGGAAACTGCAGTGGAGGAATTCATCGCGGTCAACAGAAGCTTCCGCTTAAACCGTGTGTCAGATCTTACTATTTGGAGAGAGAGCCGTACTTCTACAGAGGACCTTACCTGCGTGGTGGACCCAACTGGAAAGCGGAGAGTGGATTGAAGTGTCCTGGATGTGGAGTCTCTGAGCGATCATAAACTGATCGGCGTTATCTTACATTTACATGGGAAACAGGACTAGTGATTTAAAATTTATGATCACACCTTAGGAAATGGAGAACTTGGAGTTTGTTCTGCACAACACTATTGGGTGGAAAATACATTCGACCTTTGGGATCGACATAGTACTACTAAAATGTTAATGAACGCATGCACGTGGTCATTCTTCCTGAATCGAATAAAAAATTATGAAAAAGCATAGGTGGAATGAGGGGATCGCCGATTAGACGGCAAGATGCGTCGCGACGAGAAGGGTTCTCCAGAGAGTAAGGACCATAAACATCGCCCCACTCGTAGTACTGCCGCATGCAACAGGAACTCCTATGCGAACTTAAGGCTCTCAGCAATATTATGAGAAGGGCTAAATCAGGGAAGGGATTTCTGGAGGAATATGAGCACGATCCATGGGGCAATGCTTATCGCATAATTTGCAGGTAATTATAGAAGAACCTACTAGAATAGTATTGACTCTTGAGCAAGCACAAACGGAGACGAGACGTTCGTTCGGAAGTTGCCGACCAACTGGAAAATGAACGAATACAATGAATGTAACTATTTTTTCCCCCTGGAAGTGGTGAGAAGAGTGTTAATCATCCCGTCTGTTCACGTTGATTGCATTGGACATAACGAATGCAGTCAACAGCATATGTAAGTTTAAAACATATGTATGGCATTTTCTCTACTTCTTTCTATTAAAAATTGGAAAACACGATGTGTTTCATTTGTGTTTCATGTAACCTGTATTTTGCATTAACCCTTTATTCAAATTGCAGTAAATCCTGAGCATTACCATATTTAATGGTGGAGCTATAAACTGAGAATAGGATTTTGCTTGACCTCTCTAGTTAAGTTTATGAATAAATTACTTCAACCTTGATTTTCTCCGCAGTGACCGATGACGTCAACACATCGATTTGGATTGTCCCTATTATTCACAATTCTTACTTTTTTTGAACGTGCTTGAATTATTTGCAAAATTTACTTCTTTGCTGAACAGTTTTGACAGATTTTAGATAAAAGTAATTATTTCCTTATCATAGAAATCTTAAATAAGATGAGATTTGGAAGATAAGAAACGAGATAGTAGAATTAATAGAAGACGAAAATACAAGAGTGGGATAGATGAAGAAGAATTAAAAAGTTATAAGCATATTATTTACGTTGTCCTCAGAAAGACTTCAGAAAGGAGCAATAAGTTAACTCGACGCACTTATGTCTCTCTCCGTACATTAAGCAACTCATACAGCTTCCGCTCCTATCTCTAGCCTTCTTAGTCGCTCCGATTAAAAATATCTGTTCAAAGTTTTTTTACCTACTTTTACTAATTACTGGTCAAAATTAGGGCTACCTCAACAAACCATAACCTAAACAAAAGCTCAGGCAGCCTAAATTGATCGCTTCGACACAATCTTCCTAAATGACGACTAGACTCCAGTAACAGTCCATTTTCTCGGTAACATCTATGATTAAAAGCCCGATAATAAATTTAACTATTACAAAAAGATGTGATAATAAAACCCTAGGGTTCATCGTAGAAGATATACCTTCAATTACAAATTGTTTCGAACATAACAGTTTTATGTTTGTGATTGTTTTAAAGTATAAAAAGTTGAGATTATTTCATTCGTGTAAGCGTGAAATGTGTATTTGATTTGATTTGGTGGAATTTCAACCACTTGCGATTTCTAGTACGTTACTAAAGATAAATCTGTAAAGGTCTAGATGAGGGTGGGGGGATCGAAAGAGGAGGTCTTCCCCACCACTGTACCATAAAAGTTCGTGGCGGTCTCACCTCCATAAAAAGTTATGGGAGTTCAAAGTTAATAAATACGCCAATTTTTATACATTTCTAGGCATGTAAATATTTATATAGTCATTCTTAAACAATATTGAAAGGTAAAACTAATGAAAAATAGGTTCATAAAAATATTGAGAAAGTTATATAAAACATTATTTAAATATCTTTATCAATAGGTTAGGTTAGGTTATCTTATCGTGGGTATCGGGTTTTGTTCAAGTGACCACCCTCTTTCGATCCCCCACATCCACCCGCTTGAAAATATTATTTTGTTGAATTTTATTTGAATCATAGTGTATGAAAATTGTCAAAATAATCAACTTTCAACCCCCACAACTTTTTATGGGGGTAGGACCGCCGCAAACTTTTTATGGGGTTTTACTCAGGTGACCACCCTCTTTTCAACCCCCCCCCCACACCCATCCCCGTCCCCAAAGGGGGGCATCCTCTAGATTTTTACCGATAATTCGTATTTATGTACCCTATTCATAGTCACCTATTCCCCATTTTAACAACTATTTAGACGTTTTAACGGGTAGTTGATTTGGAACAGTACAGAAAACAATCATACCTGATGCCCAGTGAACGACCGTATGTTTTTCATTATCCACTGCATTAACGTCAGCTTGATTTGCAAGTAGAAACGTCACCAGCGGTAAATTTCCCGCAATGACGGCAAGATGAAGTGGCGTGAAACCTTCTTGGTCCTTTTTATCTACTAAATCTGATGCGGCCATTACTAGTATATCAGCAGCCTGCGCGGACGTTATATTATCACTGATGCAACAATAATGTAGGGCTGTTTTTCCACTTCTATCACTTTCTAGAAGAGCACTGGGCTGCAAAAAAATAAAATCCTCAAAATCTGATCATGCATTACACACTAATGATTTTTTAAATGTTAAGTTTCTTAAAAATATGTAATAGTTTGTCGAATTACATATTTCTCCGATATTAATATTGGTACGTATTCTTGTACATATAGAAGAATAAGCTAAGAAGCCATTAAAACTTCAAACAATAACATTCCTGGTTTGTAAATACAATCCATTTTTTTAAATCAAAATCCAAGCATTAAGTTTAGGTTTGCTCTGTTTTTGCAATTCTTCAGTGAAGAGTCTTCACCTTTTTACGAAATCGAGCCGCTACTATTAAAAATATAATTGTTTATTTCAAAACTGTCTTTTAGTGAATGTATGATGTTGTTTGCTGCAATAATATGTTCCTCATGTACTGTTAAAATAAAACATTGAAGATATAAGTACAACGTGTTAATACAACTTCGAAATGATACCAACTGATGTCAACTTACATAGACTTTGCTAAAATAAAAATGCGCCTCCTTCATTTCTAGGTACATTTTACTGAAGTTCTATACTTAGAACAATAAATATTGTAGCGAGCACGGCATACGTGTGTGTGAGCGGCTTACCGATTCGCCAACTAGCCGCGGGCCCCTTTATTCATGTGCGCCGTATCTGTAAACGTGTGTGTCGTACCTGCGTTCCGGGAAAGCAATTAAACAGTTCTAAGAAAACGAAACATTTCTGGACGGCTCGAGAATGTTCCCGAAAGGAAGCAAGGAAGTATTTAAATGAAGAGACGATCGCCAGAGTAGAGTAGAAATAAACTGACCGTTCTAGAAGTGAAAGAATAGAAATAAATTGACCGTTGCAGAAGTCAACCAAGAGATAAATTGACAGTGATAGAAGTGAAATAAATAGAACAGTGAATAGTAACAGTAGTGTAAATAAATAGAATAATTTAATAGTGTTTTTAAGTTCAATAATAATTAGTGTAAATAATTAGTTTTCTTCTTAAAAGTTAATTTGTTAAAGCCACCAACATTACAATATGTTGGATTTGTAAGATTTATATAATCATCATCATCATGATCTTAAAGTCGTCAGTCCTAAGACTGGTGGGACACGTACCTCCACTCCTTCCTATCCTGAGCTAATCTTCGCATTTCCCTAAACCTAAAACATCCCACGTCCTTAACTATTTGCGAACAGTAATCTAATTTAGATCTACCTCTACTCCTCTTAACTCTTCTGCCTCTAATATGTCTCTGTCTAGACCTTCACGCATGAGAAGGTGTCCTACCAACCTATCTCGTATATTTTTTATTGACTTCCATAAAGTCCTCTGTTCTCCTCTTCTTTCTAATACCTCTTCATTTCTAACCTTCTCTACCCACGGTATCCTCATCATTTGCCTGTAATACCACATTTCAAACGCTTCTAACTTATCAAGTAATTGGTAGTAAATTCTCGTAATAGGTATGCAGATATTTAGTGACATCTGTACTATTTGTCAAGATCTTACAAAGGTGTGTATTACTTATCGTGTGCAGATAATGATAATTTCGAAATCGTGATATACAATCCACATTCTGCTAGTATTGATAAATAACTAATCAAAAATTTAATTTTTTTATTTAATTGATTATTGGACCTACTACGTACATAAAAATAATAATAATAAAAGCAAAAAAAGACTCAATGTCAAAAAATTTTGGGAACTTTCGACACTTCTTTTATCAGTTGAAATGTTACCTATTCAAATGAGAAGAGCAAGCCGGTTGGGGCAAAACATGTTGTATCAATGTTTTTTGAATGGTTTTGTTTAGGGTTAAATTATATGAATATGAAAAATTTAAGAATTTCTTTTTTCGTCTTATTATTAGTAGTACAATCATTTGGTTTGAAAAATAGTGGTTACCTGAAAAGTTTTCCGGGAGTTTTGAAAATTGGTAATTTTATAGATTTTGAGGTGGTCATTCCGAATTTCGACTTTGCCACCTCGTATTTTTGCCGCTCGCGCCGCCATATTGGAAAAATTGCCCCAAAAAGCAGTTTTTTGACAATATCTCCTTTCCGACCCATTTTACGATAAAAACATTTATATACAAAATGAAACTAGAGACAATTACCTACAATTTATGTATCTACCTTTTTTTCATAAAGTCAACAGTTTAGGCGTACGAGCGCCGCAAAGTATACTCCAACACACATTTTAGCCAAAAAAACGCATTCCCTCGCCAGCTTGAGGTAGAGTAAGCGGCGCGTTATTTTTTTAATGTTGTATCCCCAGTAGGCCTAATCCACATGCAATTTAATATCCTGAAATTTAGCGTATTCTCCTTCGCTTTGTTGTTCTTTCATCTTTAATCCTTTTTCCTTTATTTCAATCACTTCAGTTTATTCCAATAGATTTGCGAAACATGGACAGTGGGTGCGGCGGAAAAGAAAAAGTTAGAAGCCTTCGAAATGTGGTGTTATAGGCGAATAAGGAGGATACCGTGGATAGTAAAGAGGTATTAGAAAGAATAGGAGAACAGAGGACTCTATGGAAGTCAATAAAAAATAGGCGAGATAGGTTAGTAGGACACCTTCTCAGGCATGAAGGTCTAGTCAGAGACATATNATCTATGGTCAGTATAGTTTAGAATTAAATTAATTTTATAATTCACAAATATAATCAGTTAAAATTAAATGCCACAAGTTGCATGAATAATGAGTAATGACCAAAACACGCGTTGAAGTACACTTTGCGGCGCTCGTACGCCTAAACTGTTGACTTTATTAAAAAAAAGATAGATACATAAATTGTAGATAATTGTCTGTAGTTTCATTTTGTATATAAATGTTTTTATCGTAAAATCAGTTGGAAAGGAGATATTGTCAAAAAACTGCTTTTTGGGGCAATTTTTCCAATATGGCGGCGCGAGTGGCAAAAATACGAGGTGGCAAAGTCGAAATTCGGAATGACCACCTCAAAATCAATTCAAAACTCCCGGAAAACTTTCCAGGCAAAACTACCAAATGACTGTACTATAATAAAATGGGAAGTTTTAATAAATCACTGCGTGCTTGAATACAGTGTTATGGTATCTACTTCTAATTTGTTTACAGTAACCATAGTAATTTATCATCGGGAAAGAAATACTACAAATCATGCAGCTATTTAACCGCAATGTAACCCCCATTTTTTTAAACTTTCAAGAAGTAGGCATTTTAATACATGATCTGCTGCCAGTAACCGAATGGATCCTGCTTCTTCTAAACAAAAGGATTATTAACATGCAGGTGCAACTTTGAATTTTTAATATAATTTTTGAGAAATTTTACTATTGATTTTTTATGCAAATCATTAAAAATATCATTGCATTTGTAGGAATCTTTAATTAAAAAGATTCCTGATTCCTGAACCATTAATCCAAACTTTTTAGAAAACAAAGCAAAATATTTCTAATTTCTATTTGTCAATTATGGTGATTTATTAATAGAGCATTATTATCTTATTATATAAATCACTCTAAATTTCTCCTAGATACTATCAATTCTATAAAGTGTAAAGTTAGTAATTCAGTAGTTGTTTTGTGTACCTAGTTCAAATTAAAGCTAATAACTGACTGAACAGGGTGGATAGCAGTTTATGAATACCGAAATTTCTTAACTTCACTGTGACCAAATCTTTGGAACTTCAAGTTTCATGGCTTTAAAAAAAAATAATAGATTCATAACATGCGATATTATATTCAGCTTTATACACTATATTTTACTATTTACCTTACCCCATTTCATTAAAATTGCACTATTTTATTCGTATCTGTTATCTACGTTTGCACATGCTACAAAATTTGTTATTCCACAAGATTTCCATTCAAACTGTCGGCATGGCACGTGCAACATTTCCAAGAATTATTCGCGCACAACCGATTTTGATCCACATTGTTAGACTTTAATCGCCCCTAACTGACTAGCACTACTTGTTATTACCTTAGCAACGGGTTCGTTGCTACTCTCGGAGATATTATTGCATTGAAATAATATTTCAAATATTTTGTGCTGTTAGGATTCTTATTTATGAAGTAATTATATCTAAAACGTATTTCGTCAGCAATTTTAATGGGCGTGGTGCTAACTAATATAGGAAATATTAAAATATCTAATAATTCATCGATATATAATGAACGTATAATCATTCGTTTAAAACATAACATCAAAGTTAATTGGTTTTCTTCATAAGGGATGTTGTAGTTGCAATCTTTATACTGATAACTAACGTGGAAACTTCTCCATAAAGAATCGAATTAAAAACACTTGAGATGAAACTCAGCTGATCAATGGAGAACAGGATAGAACATCTTGATATATTTTTCTTTTGCGGCATTTCATTTCTTGAATTATCGATCTCTTCAGGTAATCTTGGAAAGGCTCGTCAATAGATAGTGCATTGACTGTTTTCATTTCTAACGTATGTCAAAATAAACTGGTAAACCAAGCTAAAGAAACATCGCAGAAGAGAAATGCCTCAACATCTTATATTTGTTCTTTTCTCTGGTTCAGTACTGATCAACTGAGAATTCAACAAAAATTCGCCATGGTTATGAAAAATGTGATTCAGTGAAAACGAGTGAATTTTTTTGAATTTACTCATCATGTGACCCTGAAAAGCACCGATTGAAATTCGAATATTTAATTGCAGCATCTTCAAAACTTCGTAAAAATATGGTCGATGAATATTGCTATTCACATGGCGAACGTATCATACCTAAATACCATAGAATGGTAGCCACATGGGCATATGAGCCCAACTGTACGTTCGATTTTTAGGATTCTTTAGTCTGATTAACAAATCGGTAAAAGTTTTCGCGGCCAGTAGGTGAACTGATGTTGTTCTGATTCGGGTCTAAGGGCCGTCGCGTGCTGGAGTTGCTTCCTAACGATTC